ACACACACACACACACACACACACACACACACACACACACACACATTGAAAAGAGAACAGGAGAATGGCGCAGTCTCTTCACAGGTGAACTTCTTCAGTGCGTACGTATTGCACAGTGCTGAAACCATCGCGGTTGCTTTTTCTGTGGAACTAGGCAGATCAGACTTGAAATCACTATGTCTGCTCAATTCTGAGGGTCCATTACTAACTACGGCTTATTTCTTTAGACGCTCCTGAAAGGGGTTGCTCTGACTTTGATACGTTCTTCCTTTTTGGAGGGTGAGGAAACATCGTCGTTATTCCAAATACAACGAGCGGCTTACATTAGGCCGCTAGGAGGGCCATATTTTGTCATAAGAAAAAAAATTTTTGATTGCTGGTTTTGTTTTAGTCCACGAGCTCCTGTAGAGAAAAAGAAAAAAAAAGAAGTAGTACGCAAAAAACAATGGATCACAGTTCAAACTAATATCATTCAGTTAGTATCCGTTGTCAGCCCTCTAAATGTCCCTTGAGCAGGTGGTCCCGAAGCCTACCCTTATTCGAGCACATGACTTTCAGTCAGGACAACAAATGGGTCTGTCCCTTTTCAGTTCATTCGTCACTGGTTCCATGACGTCATCCCAATACCTCGCCCTTCTCCTCTACCTCCTGGCACCTCCTGTTGAAATAAATTTTTCATGACTGATCCCCTAAATGCCCTTCGATTTTCCAGTTTTTAAAGAAGGCGACAACGCTGATATCAGCCGAATAAAAAGTTGTTTGCGATCCTGCTACAAGCTGAAAAACTACCGGGACGCTCAATGAAGGAAAATATAATATATTTTCTTTCTGCCAGGTAATGTTTTTTATTTGGCTGAGCAATTATAATAAAGTGCCGCACATTGGGTTCATTTTAGATGCTAAGGAGGACCAGGATCGTCGGCACTCACAGATACACCGTGAAGTAAAGGTGCTGTTCAGTCCAAATGTTAGCTTGTAGCAATCTGAAGTTGAAAATTTTGCAAGCAAAGCGAAAGTAGCGCACAGTGTATTAGAAGGAGCGGGATGAGCCCGCCTAGCTTTACCCACCGTGATCAGTCAGTTATCGATGAAGAAAAAAACAACCAAAGGAGGGTAGAAACTGGGCTCATTCTATCCCTTTGAAAACCGCCCTGACTGATTTAGACATTATCAACTGTAGCTCTACTTGAATAAAAAAAATATTGGAGGCCCTGGAAATAAAACGGCTACTACCCCAAATAAACAATAGGGAGGAACTACGTGACATTATGCAAGTCATAATGTGATCGCGTCACATCCCACTATTTAAGGGTGTGGTTAGGGTGGGTTGGCTAATTTTCCGGGACATTTAGGTAAGTGGCTTGTTGGGGAGGGATCCATGCGGGTTGTTTCTTTAGGAACGTAAGCGGAAGTCAAGCTAAATAATTTCAGGCCTGAGGAAGG